GGGCCGCTGTTACGATAGTTATCGAGAGGCACACCGAGGTATTTCATAGGAGTCGCATTCCAATGAATATTTGCGAAGACCGAAGGAGTTGTAGCCCACATGCCTAGCCAGAATCCACTACTTTTATCAAAATTTATGCTGGTGCCAGCGACTTCACAGAAACGTAAAGTAGTGTTGACTGCTTCTTGAACGCTGGGTTTATCAGCGCAAAAGAAGGCAATGTCATCTGCATAAGCTAGCACTTTAACTTCCTCAGCATCATATCGGTAGCCTCTTATGCTGGACTTTAGAAGCACACTTAAACATAATGGTTCCAAATAAATTGCAAAAAGCAAAGGTGACAGCGGACATCCCTGACGTACAGATGAATTTAACTCTATTATATTGGAAAGTGTGCGATTTACAATTAGCCTAGTTGTGCACTTCTTATAACAGAGTGAGATACCATTGTATAGTACATCACCCAACTGCAGGTGTCTTAGGGAACAAAAAAACATGCTGTACCTTATCAAATGCTTTTGCAAGGTCTATTTGAAGGAGGGCTACTTGGTCCATGCTACCATCTATACACTCAAGAACTGAACGTGCAATATGTATGTTTGTCTGTATAGAGCGACCACGAATTCCACATGTTTGGTGGTCACCTACACATTTAGTAATCACTGTCTGTAGCCGATTTGTCAACAATTTAGCAAATATTTTGTAGTCAACGTTACATAACGATATAGGCCTGTATTCGTTAACTCTCTTTAATGCGTTAGGATCAGCACTTTTTGGGATTAATGTTGTATGGCTCTGATAGAAGGAAGGAGGAAGTTCACCACGGTCATAAGCCTCTTTAAAAAGTTGCTCAAGGAAAGGTATCAGAAGTTCCTGAAAAGCTATGTAAAATTCACCACTAAGGCCATCTGGGCCAGGAGTTTTGTTTTTCTGCAACGTTGTTATTGCAAATCTAATTTCCTCTCTGGTTATTGGCCCCTCTACAGGGAGTCTATCATCATCTTGTAACTGAGGCACAAGGGCAATGAAGTGGTTAGCTTCTTCCTCAAAATTCTCCTGAAGCTCAGCCGCGGTGAACAAACATTTGTAATAATCTTCAAATACAGCTCTTATTTCACATGTCTCTGTGCAAAGGGAACCCCGCGACTCAATTTGCAGTATCTGTTTAGAAAGTGCATATCTCTTTTCATCCCCAAGGGATTTTTTAGTGGGTTCCTCTTCAGTGAAATGGGTAACACGGGAACGAATCTTAGCTCCTCTGTATAAATCTGTATCATGTTTTTGTATCTGTGCTCGAATCACATTTATCTCGTCCCCGTACAATCCCGGCTGTTCACTTTCGAAAGTATGGAGCTTATGAAGTAAATCATGAAGATAGCGCTTTTCAGCTTTTTTTTCTTTGCGCTATTTCGCATGAAATACTAATTGCCTGATACTTGACTCTTTCTTTGAACCTTTCCCATTGAGCGAAAATTGATAACTGTCGACACCGTTTTACCTCTTGTACCGATTCTTTTACTATTTTAACAAAACAATCTTCGCGCAACAACTGTACGTTAAGCTTCCATAGGTCCCAGTTTAGAGGGGTTTTACGAAAATTTTTAGGACCCCAAGAAACAGTGACCAAGCAATGGTCTGTAAAAAATATGGGCTTTACAGCATAATTATGAATGTGAGACCATAAACTTAGAGATACATATACACGGTCAAGCCGAGCATGAGAGATGCCTTGAAAGTGCGTGAACCTCACCGAAGAAGGTGCATGCGCTCCCACATCTATTAAATTGTGGTCATTCAATAGTTTCTGCAATAAGGCTACACTTGCATCATAACGATTTGTTATGTATGAATGATCTCTAGCGTCACAAACACAATTAAAGTCTCCAAAAACTACCAAAGTTCTGTCAGTGTTTAGTAGCGAAGTTAAAGAAAGGAAAAAAGAATTCCTTTCATTCACTTTGGAGGGAGCATAGACACAGATAAACCTCCAATTATGGGAATGAAAAGATAAGTCGCAACAAATAAGGCGTCCTTCCCCATCAACATGTAGTGACGTCAAAATATGATTCAAGTGCTTTCTAATTAATAAAAAGCATCCAGCGGATGCACCACGTGCTGGGCTGATGTATAAATTGTAATCATGGAAAAACTTCCAGTGCAAGATCGGCGTCACGAGCAGCGTAAATCTTAGTCCTCTTGCACTGCAAGTACATCTATGTTGTACTGCTCAAGCACGTGGCGCAACTGCCACTGACGCCTTACATTCCTCAAGCCACGTACGTTGAGTGTCGCTACACACATGGGAAACGTTAGCGCGGTAGCCATTTTGATATCTTACTACTTTTGTAGGTCACCTTTAGCCACAGGCCAACCTGTGGCTTTACCTCCTTTGCACTTTTTAGGAGCACTTTCCTCAGGACTCTGGCATAGGCGGCGCGTCTCTCGGTCCCCAAAGAAGGTGACACGTGGACCACACGAAGACACTTGCTCTGTCGTGTCTGGCGCACTCGTTGTTGCTTCATCGGTGACCGATGCCGGACGCTTCCTTATCTGACTGCAATCCATTCCTTCTTGTTCCTCATTGTCAGGAGGCTTGTCCTTAAGGCCTTCCAAGTGGTGTTCGTCAGCAGCATTGCATTCATTTATGCTTTCACTGGCGTCGTTAGCGGTGTTATTTTGCGTTCCAAGGGTATCCGTGGACAAGTGTTCCGCTTCCTTGAAGGCACCTTCTGCTCCTCCCGCTGCTTCTCCTGTCGCATCAACTACCTCAGTGACATCCATAAGATGATCGAGACGTTGGTCTTCTGTCCCTTGGCCAGAACGGAGTTTGTTGGCATAAGTTGACACGCAGGCATCCGACGAGTGACCAAAACGCTGGCATTGCAAGCACCTCGGTGTTTTGCACTGTCGTCGTACATGCCCCACTCACTTGCACCGAAGACACAGTGGAGGCCTACCGGGAATAAGTACGAGGCATTGGTGGCCATAAATTGACATAAGGTGTGGTATTGAGCTCACAGTGATGGTGTCCTTGAGCTCCAAGGCAACGTCTCTATTTGTTGTCATCCATTGTTCCATTCCTGCACATCTCCATGCCTCTCTTTCAACGGACTTCACAACGCCGTAAGCTTGGAACGCCTCTTCAACACGTCGCGATTCAAGATGAGGCGGAAGCCAAAGTAGTTTCAGCCTAATATTCTTGGTCTCCGGATCTAGCACCATGCACTTCAGCCCTTTTACACGGAGCTCACCACAAGTAACGAGTTTCTGTTTCGCCATGCTGTTTGCACACGTAACCATCCATACATTGCTCATTTGATACTGGCCAACTCCAATAATGTCCGCTGTGCTCACCACTTTAAGCAGCGCGTCACGGAAGTCAGGGGCACGGTACGGCCTACCACTCAAGTCGGCATGAAGGAAAACGGAATTGAAAACATCGTTACCGGTTGGAAGACGTGGCAGGACGACTTTATAGCTTGAGTCTTCATCATGAAACGGAGTCGATGATCCTCGGCCGTTGGCCGATACGCTGTTACCAGCAGAGAGCATTTTGGAACGCAGCCGATCGGTGCGGCTTCTCACCTCACCTCTGCTTTTGAAAACAGTGAAAAGAACTTCCTCTGCTTGGAAATGCACTTAAAATAGCTTTGATGTATCTGAACCTCTCGCGTCCTGTATACATGCTTCGCAATGCAACATAAAATATTGCACTAATAATGCGTGGTACAAGCGTTCATTGCCAAAGGGCGTCAGCATATGAGATTACCCTAATGGCTTTGTGGTGGAAAGCCGGTAACCCACTACAAAAGGCACACACGCTATTGCGCCTATTCTTTGAAGACCACGTATAGTGGGTGCACAGCAAATTCTAAAAAGGTTTCATGCGCTAAATGTTTAAATATGCACTAGAAACGGAATGTCGCTCGTTCAAATCCTAATGGCGAAGCTTTGAGGTCCCCTAACTTTTCTGCTGATATGTTGTTGAACATTGTGTGTATGTTTACGCGAATCTACTGGCGTGGCAGCCGCCTCTCTCCCCACCAACTCTGCGCTCCCACAACGCCTGCGTATCAATAAGGCCACACGTTGCTCTGGACAGGCCACTGCTGGAGCTACATTCATAGTCGCTTCTTCCCGAAGTCAGTTACGATGGGCGATATTTGGAGCCACTCCAGCCTGATCCACTGAGGCATATTTCGTGGGTCTACCCCCCTATTCACAATGAAGGCCACATAAGGTGATATCCGGTCTTGTTTTCATTTTTGTATTGTTTTGTTTTGTTTCCTTTATGACCACCACTAAGGGGAAATGGGGGCGCCGCTCACACGATCACGCGATAGTTTCTGTATCACGGCACGAACTTAAAACATTTAATGTAAGCCTTTGCGTTTAAAAAAAACTAGCGACTGAAGCAGTGCGACAGTTACAGGTGTACACAGAGTTCATACGACAACGACCACACAAAGGAACTTACTTATAAGACAAAAATCCTATGAATTCGTCCGACCTGATGTCGAGGTGGACGAAAGCAACAATACTTGTCCATAGTTGTACGGCAACGAGTGTGCCCGCAGCACGTTATATCAGCTCATAGGAAATTAACTCGTCCGTGAGTGACGGGCACTAATCTCAATAAATATACAAATTCAAAGATGAAAACCAAATCATGTCAAAGTTGCGTAATTCACTAAATTCACTCTGACTTCTCGTTAATAATTCTTGTCACTTTAACGACCACCATGCTCTCAATGTATAATGTGTTCATAGCCGGAATGACGTTCCTTTGCTGACATGCAATTCATGCAGACAAGACTTGAGCCCCATGTAGTCTGGTAAAATGACTGCGCAAATGTAAGCGGCAAGGAAACAATATAAATGAACAGACATGCACTCCACCAGCCAATACTCCACCAGTTCAACGAAAAGCTGTCGCCTCCTTAAAGGAATTTCTATTTTCATAACCTTGCCAACAGACTTTGTGTTCAAGGGTTACTTACCCTGGCCCAGCAGTTCCTGCTCAACAGGCAGAGTGTATGCCGTGAGATGCACGGGTTCACTGCGGCCGTTTGCGTTGACGCCGTACACGGCCAGCCGATACAGCGTTCCCGGCTGCAGAGAATGAACCCTAAAGCTGGGCTGTCCCGCTGTCGTCAAGTTTGCCTTGATGGGAGCTTGAGGGGGCCCGTCCCTGAGTTCCAGCAGGAACTCTTGGTTCTCTGGCGCACCACTACGCCGTTGGCACGACACCAGCAATGCATCCGAGGTCGCCTCTCGTGCAACGCAGTTGGACGGCTGCACTGGACCGCCTGCATCGAATTAGAGAGAGAGAGAAACACTTTAACGAACTGCTGGATATGTTAACTGGCTGTGATGAGGGCCCGTGACACCGCTATGAATACGACGAAGCGGCAGCAAAAACACGTGAGCACGCGCATTGAAGTAAGGGTGGCTCAACCGCCTTGAATATATTTTTCTTTCACATACTTACGTGGAGCGTGCAATTGAAAAAAAAAAGAACAGGCCACTTTGGCCGAGGAGACGAAGCAATGATCGCGAGCAGTGAAGGCGCGTTGGCCTGCCCGAGTGCGAACATCCAGAAGGTCAACACCTGTTTGAAGAACCTGGTTGGGTACCAACGTCCGAAGGACTTCTAAAACAGCACGTCTCCTGTTCCTGGCGCCCTGGCAGTCTGGACGCAGAAGAACCAGACAAGAAGTCATCTGCCTCGTCGCGTCGAACGGGTTCGCGAGAAACAATGCCGTGATCGCTTCACCCCATCACAATGTGTGAGTGCTGTATAGTTTGTACTCGTTCGGTAGAGACATCTTGAGCGTTCAGCTTATGCAATAAAAATATGTATCTTGTTAATTTTTGTTTTGCCTGCTGGAATAGATGTTTGTGTGCAGTGAGATTGCATCCTCTTCCTTGCAGTCCTAACCGGTGTTTCTCGCGCGACTCTTAAAGCCCACTGCCAGACTCTTATTTCATAACACTACCTTTTCACCAGGCATGCAACTACAGAGACCGGGTGACGATTATCGCACATACACTTGATTTATATAAGCACAAAAAAAGAAACACATGCTACACTTGCACCATACAGAAATGATGGAACAGTGGTATTCGTGTGTATGTTTGATTAAGAAGATTGGGCTTGAAACGGAAGAATGGGCATGAATGTCAGATATTTGTTTTCTAGTTTTGCAGGAAAGCATATCAAGCTGTCACTCTTTGTATGAGAAACGATCATTATTGTTATGCAAATCCACATTTCTGATTGACGAGACCATCAGTCACTTAGCTTTAAATGTTCCAATATTAATATTGCATTCTAATAGAAATTAAATCAACGAAGACATTCTGTAATAACCTGCTGATTCTTTCAAGTTGTGTAATGATGTCCCCATGTCTGCGCAATGTGCATCAAGTGTCAAATTGTTTCACCCACGGCAAACGTGCAATATGAGCTAAAGATTCACACGAGGAGGCAGATATGGCGGAGCAGAAGGAGTGAGTGTGCCTGATATGCCGCAGAAATGTAAAAAAAAAAACCACTGTAGTGCCATCTAAGCGTGGCCAACATTTTGTAATGAATTCCTATCTCTCATCTAACTTAAGCAGTTTCTGGTATGTCTCGGGTGACTTACCTATCGGTACTACCTGGAATATGCAAGGCCGTCTGCTGTCACCTATGGGATTACTGGCGCCGCAGCTGAGCGTCCCGTAGTCAGCGTCATGTCGTGGTGTGTATCGTAGCACGGAACGAAGTGGTTGGCCGGCGGGCGAACTGAAGGAGGCGTCCGGCCCAAGTGGATAGTCACGATTGCCCTGACGATAGCCCCACGAGAACGTCACTGGGACCGGATCTGCTTCCATGTCGCAGGTGACGTGCACAGTGTCGTGCTTGCCGATAGAGTAGGTACGTCGCTGTTGAGACGTGCGGCACACGGGAGCGTCTGCAGTACACACGCAATGGTAAGTGCAATTGCCAGTCATATCACTTTTGTTCACAGTAAGGTAAGGCTTAACCAGTCCCGCTTTTTCTGATAACATCAAGTTTTATTATCGTAAACAATGGCGCATGTCAGTCAACCGAGGTCACTGTGGCGACTGTGTATGCGTATCATTGAGAAGGAACGTTGCCATGCTAGTTGGTTCGGTTTCATCATTTATATTACTACAGCGCCCCACGACAAGTACACAAAACGCACTCTCACACACACACAAAGCGCTAATTTGCTACTAAGTAATGTTTTATTTACAATCACACATGCTATTTGTACAACGAAAGCTCTAAATTGACGTAAACGCGGAATATTAGCATTGCAGCAGTTTCTAACTTTGTTCAAACTGACCGGCGTGCAATTATTTTAATCAATCGAGAATTCTACTCTTCATTTTAATGCGCAGTAAGAACACGTCTCCTATTTTCGCTAGCTTGATTATTTGTACATAATTGCGTAATAGTTTCACCATTAAACGACATAAACAATGGTGGAAGCTTTTGTACAACGTTCTTGTAAGCTGTACTCATCTCAAAGCACACAAACAAGCTGTGCCGCTGTACATGAGCAGTTCGTTGAGCAGAATGAGAAGTTAATTTGGTTGGTTTCTTGGTGCTCAGTTTTGTGGTGTGGGGTCTCAAAATAGAGAGCGCTACGCTATTGGAGTGCATGAACACAGTACACACGACGGAACAAACCAAGCCAAACACATTCATTTAACTGCTTTTTGATCGACGATATCGTCAGCCGAATTATTATAACATCAATTGTGATCATCACTCTAAACAACCTTACAAATTATTATCATACACTCAACAACATAACATACACAATAACATACTCAAGTGGCGGCACCAACGCTTGACTTACCACGAGGACCCGCCGCAGACGACCCGTGGTATCTTCTACGGCAGACCCACGCAAGAGACAATGGTTCGCGTCAAACGCCACGCGCAAACAGACTCGCTCAATTCTTGCGCGCCGCCAACAAGGCGTTCCGCCAGGCGTCGCCGCCGGTGCTACCAATCCATTCATGATGATAATAGCGGTGATCAACACTCGCGAACACAACGCCAGATACCGCTCAATAGTTGTGACCTTGAAACACGGCTTCTTCGTGAGACACGTGCACCACGCGGCGCAAACAACTTTACTGAGAGCGTCAGCCGCCCCCCTCCCCTCTCAACCTTAATTCAAACCATATGCCAAAAAGAAAAACATGAAATAAATCAGCTACACAAGCTCTAACAAAAAATGACAACACATGTATCTACATAATGTCCGTGCACCACGACACCGCCACCGTTCGACACAGCTGCAACATCCGGCTCGACGACTTCACCACAGTACCGGTCCCACAACAGCAACGTTGCCGTCGGCGCGACGCACTGTCACCAGCGCCGACGCGTTTTCCGGTTGGTACCAGCACTCACAAGGGCGCCGGACTGCAAGCAGTTGCTCAGGTCCCAGGCACGTCCATCGCCCGACTTCGTGACCGCATTTCTGGCCAGTGGTACAGACGATGTGCAGAAGACAGCCATTCATGGGTTACATCACTGCCGCTGCATGCACTCCAAACACTCGAAATAACAATGCAGTAGGGCAAAAGGAAGAAGCTTCGGGCTCCTCGCCCACGTGGTGCGATGGTCAGTACTGCTAGCTAATACATCGGCGGCGGCCCCGACGCCCAGCTAACGTAAAACAAATCCCCTTTTTGAACTCGTGCATCACAATATAACAATAAAAAAAGTGAGCGAGGCAAGGTGCAACCCCTCAACGCCACGATCCACCTAGTTGTGCCACGTGCGACAGGCGGCTGCACAGAGCCTTAGGCATAATGAGTGACTTGACAACAACCAGCATCCACCCAGCCTAGGTGCAGAAGAGGCAGCCGCAAGGAGACGTCCACTCTGTAAGGTGGCCCTATCGCTCGCCGCACACAGCAGCTTACCGGGCGATCGGCGTACACCGTCCCGGACGGTGTCACGATGCCCCGACGTCAAGCCGCAATACCAGACAACAACGCCCGACTCCCTGAGCCTAAAAAGGATAAAAGAAGCTATTTACAGAAAAACAGAAAACCCACGAGGCTTCATACTCGCTCGCTTCGGGCTGGCCTACAATCCACGTGCTCTAAGCTTTGCTCACCCCAAGATGCAGACCGCACGGCTCTCGTAACAACTGAACAACGTTCTTTAAAACCAACTACAAACAGAGAAAAAAACACTTGCGAGCTGAAAAAAATGAAAATTCAACGTGCTAACGAATTCAAAGACGCCACAACAACCGATCTCCTCGCACTCAACAAAGCACGCTGCCGACGCTAGCAACGAGAAGTCCCCCTAGGCCTACTCTACCACGGCTCAAGCGAAAGCTGGTACCGAACTGCGAAAACTGTCTCGATGATCCATGAGCTGCACGGTGTGCAGCCAGTGTGGGGTCTCGATATTGAGAGAGCCGCGCCACGATCTTGGAGTGAATGGACACAGCAGACATGCTCGGGACAAACCAAGCAATACACATTTATTTAACTACTTTTAGAAACGACCATATCATCAGCCGATTTATTTTAACATCAATTGTGATTATCACTCTTAACAACCTTGCACAATATTACCATACGCTCAAGAACATAACATACACAATAACACACCCAAAACAGCGTTGCCAACGCTTAACTTACCACGAGGGCCCACCGCAAACGACCCGCGACGTCGGCTACGGCAGACCCACGCTAGAGGACAACCATTCGCGTCAAACGCCACGCGCAAAGAGACTCGCTCAATTCTTGCGCACCGCCACCAAGGCGTGCCGCCAGGTATCACCGCCAGCGCTACCAATCTAACCATGATTATGATAGCGGGGATGAACGCTCGCGAGCACAACGCTAACTACCGCTCAATAGTTGTGACTTTGAAATACGGCTTCTACGCGAGACATTTGTGCTACGCGTGCAAACAACTTTACAAGAGGTGTCAGCACCCTCACAATGGTTACGAACAGTGATCTGCAACTCGCCAACCGATTATGTATGAAAAAGATCAAAAGTGTGTTACCTGAAGAATAAGGCAATAGGTGTTTGCGTACTTCAGAATCACCTAAGAAATAATTATATGAGGAATTGGTGCATATGCCTAAACATGATGTGTTGCCTGTTCCCTAACGCCTTTATAAGACTGCTGATATAATTTCTTAATACAGTGGAGAGCACGAACAAGCAGACGGGGGCTTGCTGTGACATTATCTTGAAAGCAACCCATCACATAATAGGCAGACAGAGCTACTTTACAAATTGAGTAAAAGGATTCGCAGGGAACCTTTACGGTGTGCATGTGTCTTTCTTCAACCTTCTGCAGACACTTACATTGTATTCGCAAGTCATGGCTGACGCTGCTCGCTTCGCCCTCGGAGTTAGCAGCATGACATGCGTAAGAGCCGCTGTTCGTGCGGTTCACAGATCGCAGTGCCAACGACTGGTTGCTCACAATGATGCCTCGTCCGGAGTTTGTGTGCAAGTCCCTGTCATCGAACGTCCACGAGACTTCGCCGACTGGGGGGTTGGCACGCACGTAGCATTCGAAGTACACATCCATACCTTCGTGCAGATGCGCAGCATTCAGCCCGATTCCCAGGCGGAGCTCTATGATAGGAGCATCTGCGTAAAAACAACAAATCAATAGAATTAATTATACAACTCACGGTGCTTACTTCATTTTATTACATCAATTATAGGTCAGTAATCATAAGTCACGGCATGTCGATAAGCCTTGAGATCTGTGAGTATATACCGTGAAGCCCCCTACATGTGTGTACCACTCTCGAACAACGGATCTGCCGAACGTGTGCTGCATAGCTGTAATAATTCCAATGCTTTCTTCGCCGAACAGGTGATTCTTATTGACTTGCCACAAGCTGGGATCCAGCACAACACATGCACAGACGTCAAATTTATTGTTTGGCTTCGATTTCGCAGTTAATCGTTTTAATGAAGTTTAGTCAAGCCATTGGACTACGATTTGACGCCGCAGTGTTCATTAAAGGCTATCTCTCACCTCCTCTTTTTCTCTCCACGGCTGTATTCTCATTCTTGCTCGAAGTGTCTTGATCTACAACCAAACATTGTTAACAGCATGCCGACTAGATAACTACCGGGAAACAAAACAGCACTAAAGTAAGCTGCGCATGCTCAAATAATATCGGTGTTATTTTCATTTCTTTGGTAGTATACTGCATCAATTGCATCAGCATGTAATGGGTGATACTGCGGCTGCTAGTCAGATACTTCTTTTTCTTTCGCCGTGGTGGTCAGCAGGCAGTTAAACCATTGAGCAATTTAGCTGTGTGTTATACGATTCCGAAGCGAAATAAACCGAAATGAAAAATTAGGAAGGTTAAGCAGAAGCGTGACAGTTTTGCAGGAAGTGACAAAGTGAGAATATGATGTCTATGTGTGCCTTTCCTGTCTAGCGAATCATTTATGCCCTCGTTATAGCATAGTGATGCATGGTTAACTTAAACAGATATCGAAAAACAATTCGACACACAATGTATGTCCAGTGTCCAGGAGTCCTCCATGGGCGTCTCCGGCTGCCTGGTGCAAAACGTGTTGGATGCCAGGCACCGAAGGCGTTCGCCGTGGTGCCAGGCGCTAGGGACGAAGCTGAGCACACTCAGTGTGGTCTCACTCGAAGTCGCCCGCGTGGCGTAGTCACTCAGCTCTCTGGATCCCAGCATCCAGCGCACAGAGGCTGGCGGTCGAGATCCTTCGACTTGGCAAATGACCTAGCGAGAGCAGACCATGGGTGCAGAAGAAACTCGTCATGGAAATTTCTAGTCAATAGTCGAGGTAGAAAAACACAAATGAGTCGGAATAGCGCTGGTTGCTAATTTCAATAAACTGCATGGTTCTCTGTTTTCAGAATTCTGGTCCAACATCTCTAATTATTAAACAATATGGCATTGCCTTCTGCACTTCTTACTGGTCATCGAAACGCGAAAGTGTGTAAGCTTCATTAAAAAAAAGAATATTTTACACTATGACATTTCAGTAGTAATACTTTGTGTATGCCACATTGGGAGTAAAACACAACGAAAAATCATCACGTTTTCCTTCCAACTATTTCGCTGATCATTTGGACTTCCCCATTGTGCTCACACTTGCACGACACCATTCGTTGCGAATTTCTTCATATTATATTAACAAACATAGCCTATCATTTTCTAACTAAGTAGATAATACCAAGCAGTTTTTAGCCACCTTTATTCGTAGAAGCGACTCTTTCAAATTCATAGAGGTCTTTATAAAATTGCAACACTCACTTACTGCACCCTTACAGTATAATGGCCAGTGTGACGCAATTTCAAAAATGTTACTTCGTTGCCGAAAATGTGCGCCTTGTTGCTCTGCATTTGGTTTAAGCGTCCAATTCGCGCCTGCCTGTGTCGTCTTTTTCTCCACTTTATTTTTATTCATAAATTTCGAACTTCTTGTTGCTAGACAAGATGAGGTAGTAATACATACCTGTGTTGACATTTCAGCTGAAAGTGGGCCTCTGTTTCCCTTGATTTCAACAGCGATCGGTTGCACTGTAATTTTGGACACCCACAAGTTTTTCATTCAAGTTTAGAAGTACTAATATATCATAATCGAGTATACTACCTTCTTGAGTGTACGTTTTAGAGTGGATATTTGTAAGAAAACACCCACTTATGTTAGAATGTGCTACCAAATAAATTTCGACTGGAGCGATTCATGAAAACTATAGAAACAGCGTGAAATGGAAGTTCAAGCAAAAAGGTCTGTGTATGCACGCGTTTCACTCCATAATTACTCCCACCGACTTCTAACACCAGTTTGCATTTCTCGTGATTTTAAGCCTTACATATAGAGGCCCAACTTCTTTTCAGTTATCCTATTTTTTATTTACAGTAATGTTATTTTTAGCCAGTCCCACTTTTTCTGATAACCGTAACTTTGATCATCGTAGACAATGGCGCATGTCAGTCTATCGAGGTCACTGTGAACACTCTGCATACGTATCACTGATAAGGCAAGTTGCCTGGCTAGTTCGTCGGCGTTCATCATTCATAAGGCTATAGCGCACCACGACAAGAACACAAAAGACACAGACATAGCGCTAACTTGCAACTGATGTTTTATTTATGCTCACACATGCTATTTGTACCATAACAGAAGATCATTAAACCTGAAAGGCATGTGAAGATTGAGCACAGCTCAAGCACGTGTCATTACTGATAACGACAATCTGCACTGAATTATCTATTTATATTAGGGCTTTAACGTCCCAAAACAATAACGTGATTATGAGAGACGCCGTAGTGGAGGTCTCCGGAAATTTCGACCACATATGGTGCTTTAACGTGCGCCCAAATCTGAGCACACGGGACAATCTGCACTCGCCAATGTCCAAATGGTGATTCCAGATACCTCTTTTGTTAGGTGAGAAGGTTAAGGAAGCCGCAGTCACACACTGTTCTTTTATTTTGTCGGTTTCATGGGTTTTATTTATTTCAGTGCAATTCACGGACATTTGCCCGTGCTTGATCCACAATCCGGTTTCCCGCTACTGTCAGCATTATTTACATTTTTGCATAATCCGTGTAACTGTTCGGAAGCAGAAAACACTACGTCCACACCAGCTTTTTTTCACTATTCTTCACAAGTAATGCTAAATGACATGCATGTAGGGCACTACAGCAATCTTGGCTACCTTAGTGCTTTGTGTGGTGCGGCACCAGGCAATAAGACTGGTGCGGAGGTTGTTTTCTGCTCATGAGCGGTTGCTAGGAATGTGCAAAGATGGTAATGCAGACAGTAGCCGAAAACGGAATGGTAAGATCAAGCACTGGGAAAAAATTGTGAATTGCTATTGAAATCTCTGTTGTAGTCCTTCGACTTGTGAATGCACGTAGATAGGCCAAACTAGAAAGCGTGTGAACCAAATACTTAAGGAACAGCAGTAGAACGTAGAAAAAGCTGTATCTGGTCATTTGGTAATTCACTGTCAGAGGTGTGGTCCAGCCCCTATGTTTCAAAACACCCATGTTCTCGATAAGGTCCGTGACAGAACTACGCGTGTAATTACTGAAGTCTACGAAATTTACAAAATTAAAAGAAAATTAGTATGGCTTCCTTAGAAAGAAAAGAAGTACCGTAAAATGGGGTAACTTTGTGACAAATTTCGTATGTCTTTCTTCCCTTGCTAGAGAATAATCAATACACAGGCGGATGAATAATGGCACAACGTTTCTAAAACATTCCCTCGCACGATGGAATGTTGTACAGATCCGAATTTTCATTCAAACGGCTATATCCAGGTTAAAAGCTGTCACACTGTTGTGGGGCGTGTGGGGCAACTTTGCGACAACATTCTTTTTGGGTGAATAGAATGTGAAAAAAAAGGCAGGCACAAAGTTACCCTATCAAAAGTTTATTTGAGTTATCTACAATTCGTTTCTGCTCTAGCAACGTTAAAATTTTGTAAATATTTATTGATACAACTACCTACTCAATCAAGATCTACTACCTCAAATATGGCCTATTTTTCTACTGGCCTAGGGGATTCAAATGAGTACAGAACTTCTTCTTTTCAGTACAAAATTGCGTCTTCGCGGTCTAACCATCTCCAATTCTTTTGGGTCCTTTCCACAGTGTTTAGAAAATGCGCCCGTCAGGTTTGACTGCCATCACTTTTCCTGGGTAAAGTTGTCGTTCGAAGTTTACTACAACGAAGTCAACCTCCTTGAAGGTTCTTTCTCCGTAAATCGCACTATAGGTCCTCGAGACGCTGTTGTATTGGTAGGACACTTCTACCACAAAAACGGAAGGAGTGTTCGTTTTAGATAGGTTGTCAAGACTTCGGCAGAGTAGCTCGGAATCTCTGGTACCTCCTTCCGACCACTTTTTGTTGTCGCCGTGGGTCTCGCTTGCTGTATTCCGGGCCGACCGGTTGTGCGCTCGCGCGCTCTGTGCGCTTGCGATCTCCGGCGTCAGCGTGGCTCTGGCCGATTGGGCTCGCCCTACGTCACCTCCTGCCGCCGACGACCTTCGACGGCAGTGTAGCTCTGACCAACTGGACTTGCTCTACGCCATCTACCGAAGCCGAAAAGAGCTCTCGCAGGCGTGCCCCGTCCTCGGACTCCAGTGACCGTGCCCCCATCTTTCCTATCTCTTCTATCCCCTCAGTTTGTCGTCGCTCGCTCTGGCTTACCACCTCACGTCTCTTCCTCTCTTCTTCTTCCGCTTGCTACACCTTTACTCCTACTCCTTTTTATCCCTCCTCACCGCCATCCCTCGTGAGCTACTGTGGCGGTGTCGCTCACTGAAGCAGACAATAACGAGGCTCACTTTTCTCTTCCTTTCTCTTTTTAAGAAGCACTTCTCTTGTCGCCGTGCTGACCATCTGAAGACAATTCGTTGTCATTGCTTTCTTCTGAGCTCTTGTCCTCAAAAGAAAACCTCTTGAGTCTAGCTCTGATACCGTAGGAACGAATGCCCTTCTTGAAGTAACTTTGCGACATTTAACGTGTCACAGTTACCCCGCGAAGTATCAACATTTCAGTTTCCTTTCTATAACTGTAAACAGACGTGACTTGATTAAATTTATATTGTAGTTTATTTTAGCCTACGTGATAACAATCACAAGTAGATACCAGGTTTTGCTGTTCTTCTCGTGGGGACGGGTCATGCACACAAAGTTTCCTGTGCTTCGAGAATGCACACCAAAACACCTTTCAACATGTCAGCGTCTAGAGTGGCAACGCAGCATGAGAACTACGCAGCATGAGAACTGGCATGTTAGGCGAGCTTTTTGAGCAACCTATTGCTTTTCGGCGGCGCCTGGTCGTGGCCTGAGTTTTAAAATACAGGAACCCGAGTGCGTGTCACAAAGTAACCCCGGCAGTCACAAAGCAAACCCATTTTACGGTATCTAGAAGCACTGCTTTGACGTTTGCGAGTGCAGATTGCATTAATCAGGGATAACACGTGTATGAGCTGTGCTGTGTCATTACGTGATGTTTTTTTAGGTTTTATCAATTGCCTGTTATTGTACTAAATGCATGTGTGATCACAAATAAAACATTAGTTGTAAGTTAGCGTTGTGTGTGTGTCTCGTTTGTATTCTTGTCGTGGTGTGCTATATAGTCATATATATGACGGGACGTATAAATTACAGTGACTTTCACTCAAATAGCTAGTTTTCAGCTACCACCGAAAAAAGCGTTGGTCTGTTCTTTTGATTGGCACTTGTAGTGCCACAGCAAAATTCTGAACTTTTTTTTCATCCCACTTAAGCCATTCACGCCCTAGATTTGCGCGCTTGCTAAACGTGTGCTCCTGCAACATCACGTGTTCACAAATTTTATTCGCGTTTCTTGTCACTCTTAGTCTATTACAGTCCTCCTTACCATTACTAAAATCGAACGGAGAAACTTACTTTATTCAGAGAACACGTCTGGCCAACTATCCCAGCAGTTCGGATTTCCGAAGTACATCACGGAATCAGCTAAGTTGTTCTTATTTGTGTACTGATATGTGATGACTAGTTCTATCACGTGGTAGATCATCTGAACATCCGCTAGGCAATCTTCTCATAACTGAAATTTTATTTGAAAGAAAAGTGTAATCCGGAAGCAATGCAGAGGAGCTTGAGCCAAATATTAAATTCAACTGGAATAGCTTAATGCCAACGCTGAGTCCCCACCATGAATTAAGCCATAAAATTAAGTTCGTGCTTTGCTTTAGAACAACGCTGAAGTTCCCATTTGCACTCCACCACGACGCTTCTAATTCTTCGTGGGAGCACTGGCCATATCCAGACGCCACAATCAGTCGAGGGAGTGTGTTTTCGTGTACGATGCTGATGTCACTGCTCGTCTCGTGCTGCATACATGATGTGTCTTGCTATGTCTCCCCTCCCCACCCCCCACCCCCCAGAGAACACAACTGGCACGCAGAAGAACCAGGTCATTCAAACCTCCCTAGCTTCCACGAAGGACAGTAGTTCGCTGTGTGTCCTGTCCGTGCTGCTGTACACATTATTTCGAGGCGAAACTTTCCACCGAGAGAGAAGCCGCGCGTGTGTCATACACTCCCGCTGCTTCTTCGCTAACTGGAACAACTTTCACATCACTGAGAGCACCACATTGCACTTATTCTTAGTGTTAATCTTACTTTTTTTTTGTTCGTCTATGCGCACGAAAAAGGCGCAACGCGTTCATCCTGTATGCTCGCCGAACATGGTTATGAAACACGGCACATGAAAGAAGCCACCGTGAGCCTCGACTGCCATTACTCTTCCGTCTAGTCTGCGTGTTATGTTCAAGGAAGAGTGTCTTACGGTGCATGTTGACAATGACGCTGGCTGTTGCCGGTTCCGAGACGTTGCTGTTGACCGCACGACACGTTAGTTTCGCCCGGTAGTCAGCACGCGTTAGCCGCAGCCGCAGAAGGGTGGCCCTGGGGTGACCGTCAGGAGCCCTGCTCAGTGCCTGCTGCAGTAGCTGGGACCCGCGCCACCACGTCACCACGGGCTCCGGCTGTCCTGTGTCGACCAAAAGAAAACAACGCTATACGATTAATCACGCTACAGACTAGTTCCGCTATGGAGAAATCTTGTGCAAGTGTCTTCTGCTTAGTCGGTGTCATTTTTGTTTTGCCATAATAAATGTATTCCATTTACTAAGTGCTACTTTCAGGTAGCTTATACTTGGAGCCTCACTTACACTGTTAGTGAAACTCACATTAGTTCTTATATGCCATAAATGTAGCCAAAAGCAGGAGGGAGCTGTTTCATTAAGGCCCCATTCACTCCAGTTAGGACCTGTTTACTAAGAGTAACGCTTTTAGAATACGTTTAGTGTACTTAGAAAAATACGTATAGAATTTAACTAAAAAAGTATCAAATGGTTTTGATTGACGTTAGTAAGCCTTGTCGGCTTGCTCTAATACCACGATATTCCGCTTACTGAGAGCAAATAAAACGTTTACAGCAAACTAGAAGGCATTTACTCAAGAGCGTCACGATCACACAAGCTGTCGTCAGATGCTTAAGTTTTGGCTACTTCACTTCGTGCTTGCCCTAATTGACTGCGCGAAAAGAAGTGCAAGAGTTGAGTACCATAAACGCGTCGGCGTATTCTAGAAGCTAAGTTTCATCGTTATTGATAGCGTTTACATTTTCAGTCATCAAAATAATTTTCTATCTGGTGCAACCTGTCAAGAGCACCCGAAAACTCTCCCAAGTTAAGACATGGAGTGCGGAAATTGCCTCTGGGCCCTGAAATAACTTCTTCCGATTATCTTCCGGTAATCTATGTGTAGATGTCCTACTGACATTTTGAAGAAAGAATTTATTTGCCTTACGAACCTATTCAAAATTCAAAAAGAAGTATCAAAGAAAGCGACCACACTCACTACACCAATCAAAGTACGTGTCATAACGTTCGAACTCATACTGCATTTAGGAGCTGCGAAGATAAAAGAACATAAATGAAAAAAACGGCATTCTAACACGTTGCAGGCCACTGCTACACACGCTGTATCTCTTCTAGCACCACGCAGTTTCCTCGCCGGAAGTACAGGGTAGCAGGAGGCGTTATTTTCTGCCAGAACATCGAGGGCCGGGAAACACATTACCGCGTTGATTTGCGTGGTGGCATTTGCACGATGGTACATATATATAGGTTTGGCGATGCCGTCCGCGGTCGTAAATACTGGAGGAGTGCTCTTCACGTGGTTCTTTATTGATCCCGATCGTGAGTGCGCGCAGAGCGCCCAAATCCCTCAAGTGACCCCAGTTCCAGTGATCAGAACAAGTAAATACAATGCAATGAGTTATGAAAATACCCCACACACTCTCATACGGTCACCACTCTTCGAGCGACGCGGGTCAATCAGCATTTTTGGGCTATAAATATTAAAAAATAAAAAAGCTCGCAGTGTATATTTTGCATGAATCAACGGCTGGAAATTCAGCGTAATTTCTTGTATATTTTTAGATAGTCCTACATCGCATAAGATGTGTGGAAGTTCGAAAGGTATAGGGTTAATGAAAGGAGGAAATTGACATACATCAATTTTCAGTACAAAGATATGAAGCTATAAAATAGATGTTTCTCAGAATAAAAGCGTAGCATTGAGAAAAAAAGCATGTTTGATCCCTTTACTTGGAAACTGGTATACCGCGAAAGTTAAACGTGTCATTGCATTGCAGAGGTATATTAGCATTCATTGTGCATTCTTTCGCCACGAGAGCGAAGTTATGAATGCTGTTGTAACAAATTGAAATGTCGCGCGAAGAATGGCAAGCAGCTCGAAACTTGCAGCGCACACCTCAAGCAGAAAGCAAGCACGACATGAACATTCAGAGGACGAGCGCGGACCAACTCTCACAGCTCGACCCTTGAAGCACACTGCTCAAACAGAAAGAAAAAACGCACGAAACAAACGCACAAGCATACACCTGGACGCACGCGAACATTGGTCACAATTCTCATTTATTTGTGTGTGACCAGCGCGCTTTTTCTGTACGTGACCACGGCAGCGAGCGAAGTGACGTTCGCGCTCGCTTCACCTACAGTAACTTCCAAGCAAACTTGCGGTGGAAGCACAAGATGTACAGAGTACCTGCATCCCGAGATAAGCGCTTGCGCGAGCGAGCCACCACGCTTTAGAACATCTATACGCATTTTGACCATGTCATGTGGAGGTGCCCTAGCACAGCTACGGGAGGGGTGGTGCAGCAAAACGACTTTCAGAGCAGCACGCGTGCCCTACGCGCGCCCATCGTGCCATCTCGCGGCTGATGAATAAAAAGCGCCAAAGTGTAGATCTCTATGGACCGTCAGTGGTACATGGTGTATATAAATGGCATGCCGTTATCATGGTGGAGAAGGGCCACTTGGTGGCATAGTGGATATATGGCGTCGCGCGCTGAGGAGCGCGAGGTCACTGGTTCGACGCCCCACTGCATATATTTTAAATGCGAAGCATATCTTAGCAAACATCGGCGACTTTGAGCGTATCTGTCTATCTATTTATCTAGCCGCCTACGACTTTTAGCTATCTTGGCCGTTTCGATGTGGGGGTCTGTACGAAAATCTTTACGGCATAACATGGCTGTATGACGAGCATAAACGACTAGTCATAACATGAATATAATGGCATATGTGTCATGAGTGTCATGATTTACATGTCGTTGTGGATAACAATTCACAATAAACGTTCAAATATACATCTCTGAAGGTACGTCTCACTTTCGTGTAATACTGATTCTTATATATATGGTGTTCAGCTATGTTTTTTTTTCTTTAAAAATTATAGTTTTCTTGCGCTCCTTCATACAATGAAGGAGTCTGCTATTTTTCCTTGTTTTCGCGTACAGTGCAGTATGCCCAGTACTTAAAGGTAAGCTCGTTAAGTTAAGATTACCATGAGAAGCAGGGCTTGGTAGTATCACGATAATGTTTCAGAGCTACAATTGAGTATCTATATTTTTGTGTTGAGATGCATATGAAAATTGTATTTGTACCCCAGTAGTGAAATACTTTTACGTATGTATCAATTGTAACGCGATACTATGCTGGAAACGGGTATCGTGCTATTTTGTGGGCTGCCTCAGCAGTCATTAGGCGAGTTATCGAGCCTTGTGTTAAACCTCAACCGACGCAGTCTAGCAGACCTACTGAGAAACTGCTCCGTGGTTACCTGAGTGCGTTTTCCGGAAAACTTTTTCAGAAAGTAATACCTTCTCTCAATACCTTCTTTCTCTCAATTGACTGGTGTTCGTTAGTGATTCAGGTGGTATAGCTTTCCTGCACGTTTCGTTGCGCTCTTACATAATTCACAATAATATGTTGTACTTTAAAAGCGTCTAGGAACACCACTGGCATCATGGAAATTAAAGGTATTGTAATGGCTGTATCTGTATTCTGCGATACTTCTTTTTTCACATATGTATCCCCAACATGAATTAGACAAGGAGAGCAGAAAGGTAGGTCCTAAAATTAATCTTCCAAAAACGAAAGTAAAGTACAACAACCTCGGAAGAGAACAGCCCTTCGATATAGGTACAGTGCACTTGAGAGAGAGAGAGAGATAAAGATGCAAGGAAAGGCAGGGAGGTTGACCAGACGCACATCCGGTTTGCTACCCTGCACTGGGGAAAGGATAAAGGGGAGAAAAGAGGTTGCAGAGAGATGAGAAGGTACACACAATCACGAGCACATTCGGGGAGCACACACAGTCTACAGGCGGTCGCTCAGGTTTGTTGACTTTAGGTAAAGAAGCAGTGCTTTGGTTGCTTTCTGCGCAACTGAGGCAGATGCCCGAGGTCCTAGTATGCTCTGCACACAAACAGGTCCGTGGTCAAGTTGATTAAAAACCATTCGGAGCTGACATCGCTGTGTGTCGTAGCAAGCGCAGCTGCACAGGACGTGTTCGATGGTCTCTTCAGCTCCGCTGTAATTGCATGTAGGAGTGTCTGCCATACCAATGCGAAAGGAGTACACCTTTGTAAATGCAACACCCAACCAAAGGCGGCATAACAGTGTCGCATCGGAGCGGGAAAGTTGCGATGGCAGCTTTAGCTTGAGCGAAGGATCCAGTTCATAAAATTGACACCTTTGGAAGCTGGTAGACGACCAGGACGTGCGTGTGAGATCTCGAGCCAGCAGGTAACGTTGTCTTGCTGCATCATTCCTTGATAGAGGAATCGGGACTACACGGGTTCCTTCATGGGCTGAGCGGGCTGCATCATCGGCTAATTGATTTCCAGTAATACCGATATGTCCAGGCAGCCATTGATATATAATATCATGCCCTCGTGCTAGAGCTTCATGATGGCAATGTCTTATTTCTTGTACCAATTGCTCATGACTCCTCCTACGCATGGCAAACTGCAAACTCTGAAGCGCTGCCTTCGAATCACAGAATATGACCCATTTTCCTGGACGTTCTTGAACGAGATATTGTAAAGCAGCCCTTATAGCAGCAAGCTCTGATGCCGTAGATGCAGTCATATGCGACAATTTAAACTTGATTGTCATTGCTGCAGCCAGAATTACAGCGGCACCTGATGAGCTGTTGGACGAGACGTACCCATCAGTGTATATCTGCGTTCGGTCTAAGTACAACTCATGTAATAATAGCAGTGTTGCTTGCTTCAAAGCTACTCTGGAGTGATCGATTTTCATTTTGATTCCCGGAATTTCTAGACGTACTTGCGGCTGGTCAAGGCACCACAAAGGACATGCCATTCTCGCAGCAGGCGTATATCCTGTTGGAATGCTGTTTAGGTGCTAGCTATGACCGGAAGACCACGTGCTACGTTTTCACAGTGCACTTGAAGTTGTAAAAGAGTGCGCGTGCTTAGGACAGGTAGTAACCGCAGAACCGAAACACGAGATTGAAGTAACTAGAATAATAAGAAAGGGGTGGAGCACATTCGGCAAGCACTCTCAAATCATGGCTGGTAGATGGCCACTATCCCTCGAGAGGAAAGTATATAACAGCTGCATCTGGCCGGCACTTACCAACGGAGCAGAAACCTGGAGGCTTACAAAGAGGATTCAGCCTCAACTGAGGACGACGCAGCGAGCGATGGAAAAAAATGATAAATGTAACGTTAAGAGACAAGAGAAAAGCAGAATGTATCAGGGAACAAATGGGTTTTAAGAACATCATAGTCAAAATAAAAAAAATGGTCACGGGCAAGGCACGCTGCGCCAAGGCAAGATAACCGCTGTCGTTAAGGCTCACAGACTAGATTAGAGAAGGCAAGTGGGTGATGGGGAGACTGAAACTTAGGTGGGCATATGAGAGTAGGAAATTCACGGGTATGAAATGGCCGCTGCAAGCACAGGACCGAATTGACTGGCTGCACATAAGAGAGGCGTTTTCCCTGCAGTGGGCGTAGTCAAGCTGATTATGATGATGAGGAGGAGGATGAGGATCTCCAATATATCCCGTTATGTCAAACATAAATGTATCTCGGTATTCGTATTTCAAAGTTCCAACGCCTGTATTTCAACTATGTAATCCTGAAATCTTTTGTGGGCATCTCTACCACAGCATTGTTCAGAAACAGTAAAAAGGAACGCGATATGCTTATACCAAAAACATTTCACAAGTTGTTAATATGTAAACTAGCTGACCAAGATGTCACGCTTCATTTGAAATACAAGGCGTGAAATGTCAAAATGGCATCCAATGTCTTAGTGTTTGGAATAACAATAAAATGAAGAGGAGCCTACACAACGCCTTTGTCATGGTTATTTGCTGAAAATGCAGTTTTTACGAAACGAACAATAAAGGTGAACGAATTTCGAATGATTTGGCCACGCTTCAAAGAAAACTAGTAGCCGCCTAACGGACAAAAGTCTGAATGCTCGCTAAAGTTAGTTCATATTACTTACCACCATAAACGTCGCACACAAGAGTCAAGTCCTCGCCTTCTTCGTATGGACGTGTAAGGTTTCGAATTTCAGTGCCATTTTCGTCTGTGATAAGCGGTCGTTTCGGAGGTACTGAAACAAAAGAAGCAAAATAACATGTTATCTTCAAGTTCTAACAAGTATTTAAGCCCGTCCATTGTATCACTAAGTGCCATCCGCTAGAAAAATTTACGGATACCTGACAAAACACCATGCCGGAGCTGCAGACAGTTTTAAATAACACTTCGTCATTTTATGAGGATTCAGGTTTGTCAGAAGGGTGCTTCCAAAAAGCACCGAAGTCTTTCCACCGCAAACCTTGACATTCGTTTTACGACTATATTTTAGTAGATGAAGCTGGCTGAGCGGGCATGCTGGTATCGCATTCTTCTCGATGGTAGCTCCAGCGGGACGAGCGAAAAGACCCGCTTGACGCAACACATCGCTAAATTTCACCAAATGATTTAATTTCCTCTCATCTCACTGGTAGACATGTTCTCACTGCGTGATACATCACGTGTGCATAGCTCCAACATGCATACCCGTGGGCATATACCAGAGACATCACAAAACAACGTCCCTAACCACGTGTAAGTACTTTTTTTTCATGTCGTTGAACCGAACGCAGATTGCGGAGAACAAGTGCGCTCGAGTTCTTTATTAGACCAGGATAGCTTGCTCTTGCATGCGTCGCCTAATGTGTAAATTCTGCTAGCTTACTTTATAAACACCGTAACTGCTTCTTTTTTTATATACATATAAACCCTAGAAGTATATTCGCTTCAGCACAAAATTAGAGTAATTTTATTCGGCCTCGCCGTTCCTATGTACGTAAAGAGCGGCCCTCCTTCCCCTATACAACGGGGGTAGGTTCCTTCAAGACCTCAGTAAAGCTTATCTATCTATCTATAATAACAATAATAATAATATTATATTAATAGTGCCTTTTATTTCTTCAAATGAAACAGTACATGGGACTAGGCCTGCCAAAGCCAATTGGTGGCTCGAGTGGCAGAGCCTGGCAGACAGCAAAACAAACCGGACGCGTTACAAGATTGTATTTTATGGCCTAAGAGGGATGATAGGACAAAAAACAACGTGCATATAAGATTAGAAACCACAGGGCATATAATCAATAGTTACAGCAATTGAAAGTGAAAATGTGTAAAGGAAAAAAGAAAGAATTAGAGCAAATGCTTCTTAAGCAAAGTAACACACTGGATAATTGTGCAGCATCATGCTTGCGAATGAGTGTATATGAAATAACACATGACATGCATTACAATTGTAGACAGATACGCCGTAGCAGTTTTTTTAATTTGTATGTTGTTTTTGTGCGAAAAATGCTGGGGGAAAGTACATTGAAATAGGTTGGTACATAATGGGCTCGTATTCTAGTTCCATACTTTCTTGAACACCGCGGCCCCCAGTAGCGTAATTTGGGCCTTAAAGAACGAGAAGTAACATACGGAACCAGGAATTCTTTGGGCCAGATATGTTTTAAAACAACCGTTTGATTAACAGATCATTGAAGTTTGGCATAAACAGGGTTTTGAAAATGTCTTTCTCAGAATTAATGTTCAGGTCGTAAGATATATATTTTTTTTAATTGAACGCAACATTCTGTTTATTCTATTGTGCCAACGGACAGCACAGTGTCCGTAAATGGTTATTCCGTAACGCAGTATACTGTAACCTAAAGCGTGTGCTATCATCTTACGTACTGAAAACGGCATGTTGTATCTTATGTTATATCATAGACATGACACAGCGCGAAGTCTTTTGCAAACATAGGCGAGATGACTATTCCAGGAAAGGTCGCTGTCAATGTATAAGCCAAAGTATTTCACAACAGATGAATACTGTAATGGACTACAAAAGCAGGATGAACAGTCAGAACAATGCAAACAGAAAGGATAGTCAAGGGTTACTTTCTTCAATGGATTGTGGAGGCAGAATAGATTAGTTTTAGACACATTCATATTATTATGGTTTTCTCGAAACCAATCCATGGCTTTAGTGGCAGCTGACTGAAGAAGAGTAATCGCCTCATAAATGTTGTTTGCAGTCGTCACGATCACAGTGTCGTCGGCGTATTGATATAGAGAAACCGGTATCGCGCTGTGAAGGTCATTTACAAAAATATTGAATAGCAGCGGACTAAAAATTGATCCCTGTGGAACGCCGGTTTTGATGATTTGTAACGCGCTGTGAGATTGTTCAACGAATACAAGTTGACGCCTGCCTTGGAGGAAATTTGCGAACAAAGACCAGAAAGCACCCCAAAACCCTAACTGAAAAAGATTAACCAATAACAAGGTATGATGGATACTGTCGAAAGCCTCGCTGCAGTCAAGAAAGAGCACACGGCAACTTTGTTGTTATCGAACGCCTCGCTCAACTGATCAGAGAAGTCTTCCAATAGCGTCTGAGTGCTTTTCCCCTGTCGAAAACCATGCAAGGCGATAAGATGTGACTATCGAGAAAGCTTGTCATCGTTAACAACAAATGTTTTGCAAGTATTTGTGCTATAGAATGCAGAATTGATATCGGACGATAATTTTCAAGTTTATCACGCGCACCGCATTTGTGTAGAGGTATAACTATTGATGTTTTCAAGTTTATGGGAATTTCTTCACTAGAAATAATGCGATTTATTAGTGCTAGCAGAACTTCATGGGTGTATTCAAAAGTACGGTGCCAGTCAGTTATAGAAACACCATCTATCTATCTATCTATCTATCTATCTATCTATCTATCTATCTATCTATCTATCTATCGTGGTTATCTAATAACCAACAATGAGACGAGAGAATAGCGTAGATACCGAGTGTTTTGTGCGTATACTTCAAATGCTCATTTTTTTTATTACCCGCTGTTATTGAATTATTTGGTACTAACAAGAGCAGTATAAGGAGGCTGAAAAAAAAAGGGGTGGACAGAGAAAGGGGCGAAGGTGCTACAGAAAATGCGTGCGGCTCATGTTCAAGATTCACTACCATCTATAAGAAAAAAAACTGCGTCAAACATTCTTCGAGTTATGATTGATTGCACAGATTTCATCCGTTAGTGCGAAAAAAAAAAAGAAAACCATGACTGAAGTTGCAGTAGAAGCAAGATACCAGTGCCTGCATTCGCCCCATAATCATCTCTTGCTTAGCAACAAACCCTTCCAATAATTGCTGGCATGTGGTGTTCTTCAAAGTAAACCCAACTCGTGCAGCAATTAGGCGGCGAGGCATGTTAATATCGCTACTTCAGTAAAATCCTGAATGCCAGAGGCACCACTGTAGCTAGTTCTCTGGTCGACCATACCGCAATTTTCCCGAACCTTTTTCCGTCCCCCCCTCCCCCGCATCCTCTACCTCGTTCCGCTTTAGAAAAAAGATGCGGTACTCAATGGATAAGTAAAAGCCCTCCCGCGGCTCTTAATTAGTGAACCAGGGGCAATATCGCGCTGGTCTTAATAATATCCAAACGACGCGCGCCTTTCCGGAACGAAGGTGCGCTAAGCATAAAGTGTTTTGGGTTCTTTCGGATGAACAGCGCAATCAAGTGAGCGAGCTGCTGAAACTAGGAAGGCGCGATAGAGGCGCGGAAGAGGGATGAAAAGCTGCCTCTCGTGACGCGGCGTGATGTCTCGCAGGGCCTCGCATTAACGGCTTCGGCCGAGCCGTTCGATCCGACCACGATGGGCGCACATAATTGCAGCGTACACCGATCTCCCCCAACCGAGCGAGCTGGCCGGCCGCGTCCTTCCGCTTCTTCCGCCTCCTTTGCGCGCACGCTCGGCGCGCGTGGCGCCACGTTTACGAGAGCCATCACCTTTTCACTTAGGCACGCCCAAATTAGGGTTAACGCTGGGCAGAGCCGCACCGCAGTCAACGCGCTTCGGCCGCTTATATAGGTGGTGCGCCAACCCCAGCGTGGCCAACGCGTTGCCATGTAGTACGAGCGAAGACCAGGGTATACTCAAGCGAGGTGGGGGGAGTTGCTTCAATAACGACACTGCAAAACGAAAAAATAACGGTAAAATGGTGAAATCGAAACAAAAAGCGTCGACATCGTAACGAAATAGCGGATACCGAAGGGGGATCAGGTTCGTGCGTTTTCCTACGGGCAGCACAGTAAACTGGGCGGATACCGAACACAGCGATGTGGATCGGTCGAGTGCACGCGCTTGCGAAGCACCCCGCAACCTATACTCTTAGGGCGAGTATAGTCAAAGCCTCGGAGAAATAAAAAGTATCAACATGAGGCAACGATGTGTGGGGAGAAAGTGGCGCGGAAAAAAAAGAAGAGCAGACGGTTCCCGGAGTGGAGGCGGCGGCGGCAGTTGTGGAAGCGCGCATTTAGCTGAATACCTGACGATGCTGAAGGGGCGGCTTGCCGAGAACCGCTTAGGTATATAGACATTGGAGGCGCGCCGGAGAAGCGACCCGTAATGGAATATCTAATGCGCCCCTCCCTCAATCCTAACCACTGGCCGCTTTACGTACCCCCCGGCTGCTCCCTCTTTTCACTGCCCACCCCTACGTCTTCCCAACGTAACCCCCTCGGCCTTCCCCTAAAGCCATGTACTGGATCAACCCGCGTCTCGTCCCCGTTGTCTCCTCTTTTCCCCGATCTCGACAAATTGCATACTTGAGCAGCGAGCCGCGGCCCAGCCATCTTCTACATCTCATCTTGTGCACTGCCCTCCCAACGAGGAGTTCGCCCCGTTCATCGTTGCTTCTCTCGTGCAGCTAGGGATACTCTTCACTTGGCTGAAAACATGGAGGAATGCACCACGTGCTAAGGTGCGTGGGCAGGGTTCCTAAGAGCTGAAGTGTCCTGTCTTTCATTATCTAACAGCCGATAAAAAAACAGCCAGGCAAAACAAGAAAACGAGGGAAGACTACCCACACACAGAACCATGGAGAAAGCGTAGTCATAAGATGGATACGTATTTCGTACGAATACATGACATCACATCTCATAAGACGTGCGCATGCGCTTGGTCACACAAACTGTTCTACAACTGCGAACTGAACCAACAGCGACAAGTGTTAGAAACAGCCAGGACACCGAGATGAACCCTTGGAACAACAAGAGAAACTAAAATTTCTTGCGTGTTCTTGGTTTAATCTGTCCGCTTGCGCGGATACGCTAAACTAATCAGTGGCACACATCAGTGCGGAAGACACGAGCAATACTCACCGACGACGACTAGGTGGACCACAGCTGTGCGTGTCCAGCCCATCTTGAAATCTACCGAGCACACGTAGGTCCCATTGTCGCTGCTTCTCAGCCGGTCAACGTTGAGCACTGCCGGCGTCTGGATGACCGAGAAGTAGGCCCTGCCACGGAGGCTGCCCAAGTGGGTGCGCTGGCGGATCTGCGACAGGCTCCCCGTGCGAGAGTTGACGTCTACGCTGTACACGGGCACCGTGCCACCGCCAGGGTCACCCTCGCTTCCTGGTTCGGCGTGCTCTTTGAGCCAGCGGATACGCACCGCGAAGTCGTCGGATGCGGGAGCCCTGAGGTCGCAGTTGAGCTGTGCCTGGCCGCCTTCCAACGCACTGACTGTGCGAGGCTCCACTGCGTTTAAATTTTAACTCGTGAATACATCGTTACGCTTTCACTACACATAAAAACATCGTGGCCCTGTTAGTTGCCCATCAGGCTAAGAACTTCCAGGAACACACAACAAACTTTCACTTTCACTTTCACTTTCACTTTATTTCCTTAAAGGCCCCGAGTGGGGGCATTAAATAAGGGGTAGGTGTACAGTAAGGATACATGATACATGACCATTCAGGATGAGAGGTGCACTTTTACAGCATCAATGAAAGCATCTGGGTTGGTGGTGGCAACGATGGCGAAGGGAAGGCTGTTCCAGTCTACAATGGTGCGTGGGAAAAAAGAAGACGAGATGGTGAGAGTACGAGTTTGAGGACGAGCAACACTTAAGCAATGGCCTGTACGAAGGGATATGCGAGCGGGCGGTGAGATGTAAAGTGGCTGATCGAGTGAACTGTAATACATTTTGTGAAACAGGGATAGGCTGGCAGTGCGACGGAGACAAGAAAGAGTGGGCAGGCCAGTTGCCGCCTTTAATGAGGATACACTAACGTTATACGAATATGATGAGTGAATGAACCTGATGGCGCGGTTCCGCACCATTTCTAATGCGTCTATGAGATAAGATCGATCAGGATTCCAGATTGCGGACACGTACTCAAGTTTTGGTCGAATTAAAGAATTGTATGCGATAAGTTTAACGTGAGGAGGAGAGTTGCGTAAATGACGCCTGAGAAAGCCTAGGGTTTTGTTACTGGATGAGATGACGTTGGACACGTGCGGAAACCAATTGAGATCTTTGGAGATAGTTACACCGAGACATTTGAAAGTACTAACAGATTCAATAGGAGTGCTAGCAATTTTGTACGGATAGAGGAGACGGCTTCGCGAGCGGATGACGGACATTAATTTACATTTACTGGGATTCAGAACCATCAGCCAGCGATCGCACCAATTCAGGATTTTCGATAAACTGTTCTGCAGCACAGCCTGGTCGGAGGTATTTCTTATTGACTGGTAAATAACGCAGTCGTCTGCGAACATACGAATAGAGCAAGTAACTTCCAATGGCAGATCATTGATATATATCAGGAATAATAGGGGACCCAGCACGGAATCCTGGGGGACGCCGGAGGATATAGGGACGGGGTTAGAGGCTATGTTATTGATACACACACACTGAGACCGATTAGTAAGGAATTCTTCAACCCATTGTATGACATCTGAATGCAAACCTAAGTGGGAAAGTTTTAACAGCAAGCGTTGATGTGGTACCTTGTCGAAGGCTTTAGCGTAGTCAAGGAATATTGCGTCTACCTGTATATTAGAGTTCATGTTGGAATGCAGATCATGAATAAAAAGAGCGAGTGGTGTTTCACAGGACAGACCTTTGCGAAAACCATGCTGTGATGAATGGAAAAAGCTGTTGGAATTGAGGAAGTTTATGATGTTAATGTAGATGATATGTTCCATGATTTTACATGGTATGCTGGTTATGGAGATGGGCCGGTAGTTTAATGATGAAACTCTGTTACCTGACTTGTACACGGGAACGACCTTCCCCACTTTCCATTCGTTCGGTAGAGTGCCTGATGATAGAGACTGCAGAACAACAAGGTTAAGACTGCGGCAGAAATATGTTTAGTATTTTTTTTAGAAGTTTAGAAGGGACGTCATCAACACCTGCGGACGAAGAAACTTTTAGCTTTTCAATCAGTGATGCGATGCCTTCGGCCGAGAAATTTATAGCCGACACTATTGACATGATAGGGGTAGTGCACTCAGGTAGGGGGGCGTCTGGTTCGGCTGTGAAAACGGATGAAAAAGCGGCGTTGAATGTATTAGCGCACTCAGAATCTGAAAAGATATCACCCTGATCCGTATAGATACGGATAGAGCGGTTGGGCTGAGGGTTAATGATCTGCCAGAATTTACGGGGGTTATCGGTTATCATGCGGGGAAGGTCCGTGTGAAAAAAGGAATGTTTACGTTAACGAACTTCTGCGAGATATGTGCGTTCAGCTTGATAGTATCTATCCCACGAGTCGGCATTTGGTTGAAACTTCGCGTTACTCGTGGGATCAAATCCCGGCTGTGGCGGATGCATTTCCGATGGAGGCAGAAATGTTGTAGGCCCGTGTACTCAGATTTGGGTGCACGTTAAAGAACCCCAGGTGGTCGAAATTTCCGGAGCCCTCCACTACGGCGTCTCTCATAATCATATGGTGGTTTTGGGATGTTAAACCCCACAAATCAAATTGAAACTTCGCGTTACGAAAGAACCGCTTTTTTTTGTTCTCAAGTGTTTTAAGGTTTTTGGTATACCACGGCTTATGACGATTAGAAGGAATAGTGGTGACTGGAATATATTTCTGCGCTAAAACATTCATCTTGCCCTGATAATCTGACCAGTTCTGTTGCACAGAGCGATTGTGAAATGTCGACTCGTAGGACCGATAAAATTCATGCAGTTCGTCGTTTATGACCGAGTAGTTACCTTTATTGTAAAGGCGATTTTTTTTTTTTGCTGGGTAATGCTGAAAAAGTGGTTTGAGGGAAAATGTGGCATGAATTACTTCATGGTCGCTTATTTTTTTAAGGTAACTAATTGATGACATGAATTCGGGATGCGATGTCAGAATAAGGTCAAGCGTGTTGGCACAATCTACCGTGACACGAGTTGGTTCTTTTATCAGTTGGGTCAGATTATGGTTAAGGCAGAAGCCCAGAAATTCAGCAGCCTCCGAGTTACCTGTAGCTAATTGCATAGAAGACCAATCAATACTGGGGTAATTAATGTCACCGAAAAACAAGATGCATGCATTAGGGTGCCGCTTGGCTAAATCACTCAAATATTGTTAAGTTTGCTGGGAAACCGGAATGATGAGTAGGGGGTCTGTAGCACACACCAAGAATAATAGATGAAGGTTCCCGGAGTGGAGGCGGCGGCGGCAGTTGTGGAAGCGCGCATTTAGCTGAATACCTGACGATGCTGAAGGGCGGCTTGCCGAGAACCGCTTAGGTATATAGACATTGGAGGCGCGCCGGAGAAGCGGCCCGTAATGGAATATCTAATGCGCCCCTCCCTCGATCCTAACCACTGGCCGCTTTACGTACCCTCCGGCTGCTCCCTCTTTTCACTGCCCACCCCTACGCCTTCCCAACGTAACCCCCTCGACCTCCCCCTAAAGCCATGTACTGGATCAACCCGCGTCTCGTCCCCGTTGTCTCCTCTTTTCCCCGATCTCGACAAATTGCATACTTGAGCAGCGAGCCACGGCCCAGCCATCTTCTACATCTCATCTTGTGCACTGCCCTCCCAACGAGGAGTTCGCCCCGTTCATCGTTGCTTCTCTCGTGCAGCCAGGGATACTCTTCACTTGGTTGGAAACATGGAGGAAAGCACCACGTGCTAAGGTGCGTGGGCAGGGTTCCTAAGAGCTGAAGTGTCCTGTCTATCATTACCTAACAGCCGATAAAGAAGCAGTCAGGAAAAACAAGAAAACGAGGGAAGACTACCCACACACAGAACCACGGAGAGAGCGTAGTAATAAGATGGATACGTATTTCGCGCGAATACGTGGCATCAAATCTCATAAGACATGCGCATGCATTTGGTCACACAAACTGTTCTACAACTGCGAATTGAACCAACAGCGATAAATGTTAGAAACAGCCATGACACAGAGCTGAACCCTTGGAACAAAAAGAGAAACAAACATTTCATGCGCACAACTCGTGTTCTTGCTTTAATCTGCCCGCTTGCGCGGATATGCTAAACTGATGAATGGCACACATCAGTGCGGAAGACACGAGCAATACTCACCGACGACGACTAGGTGGACAACAGCTGTGCGTGTCCAGCCCATCTTGAAATCTACCGAGCACACGTAGGTCCCATTGTCGCTGCTTCTCAGCCGGTCAACATTGAGCACTGCCGGTGTTTGGATGACCGAGAAGTAGGCCCTGCCGCGGAGGCTGCCCAAGTGGGTGCGCTGGCGGATCTGCGACAGGCTCCCCGTGCGAGAGTTGACGTCTACGCTGTACACGGGCACCGTGCCACCGCCAGGTTCACCCTCGCTTCCTGGTTCGGCATGCTCTTTGAGCCAGCGGATACGCACCGCGAAGTCGTCGGATGCGGGAGCCCTGAGGTCGCAGTTGAGCTGTGCCTGGCCGCCTTCCAACGCACTGACTGTGCGAGGCTCCACTGCGTTTAAATTTTAACTCGTGAATACATCGTTACGTTTCCACAACTACCCCTACAAACATCGTGGCCCTATACGTTGGTTATCAGGCTAAGAACTCCCAGGAACACACAAACACTTAAAGGTTTTGAGGAAATTTCAATATTTCAAAGACGTCCGGGTCAGAAAACATTTCTGAATTGCACGTAAACTTCAAGTAGAAGCAGTCCTTTTTTCTTTTACACACCGTTAAAGGTAAAAATTCAGGCAGCTTAACTTGAAACACTACCGTGTCTATGTTACTCACACCATTGTACCTAAACAATCATCTTAACTATACTGTCCTCGCGTCTTGTACCCACTTTATAACCTTTATGTACATGTCACGCACAAGCTTCTAACAGTCCTCAGCAATCCTTAGTAGCTGTATCTTCGTAGGAGGACTCATTATCTATTGAATGTCGATACTGTTGAGACTGACAGCCACTCACAAAATGGGCAAGTGGTTCCTCACCCCTAGCATGCCTGCTAATGACAATTTATAGTTTCAATACTAGTGTACATGTGCCAATTCAATACCAATGGCCAATCAAGTGTCCAACAAATGAAGGTTCACGCCAATCGTTCGAAGCTTAGAACACAGGGAATCTCGTTCGTTTTGTAGGTACCTGACGTGACGTTCATGGCTGATGCTATAGGTCTCTCTTCGGCTTAGACTGAGTAGAATCGAACCACATCCTGTCAGAGACCTTGCATATATATCAGAAGTCGAGCACCAGAAACTAAAGCACAAAGCTGTGCCTCCCCCCCCCCTCCTCCTATCGAAGCACGGGCGTTTTGTCACTCGTATACTTGGCTCGCGCCACGCTAGGCAAACTAGGTGCGGCGGCTGCGCGGATTGTCTCCGTCGGTAGGCGCGGCTTGACGGTGGCTACTCCTCGGTGCATGTGCGGCTAGGGAATTAGGGAATCGAGGGAAAGTGGTCGGAATGTTAGTAATCTGCTGATTACTTTGCCATCGGCCTTGGCGGTACACTAATTACGGCGCTCATCTGTGGGTCACAGGCTCTATCATGGCCGCAGTGGTGACAATTCTACGGAGACGAAATGCTGGAGGCCTGTGCACAGCACATTGTCAGAGAACGTTTAACAACACCGCGTGTTCGACATTTGCAGAGCGCTGCCCTACGGTGCGTCTCATAACTATACCATTGTTCTGGATCCTAACACTTCCCATATTATCATCAATTACTTTCAAATGTTTGCTAATCATCGCGTCTATGTGGGCTCGTGTGTAACTTCCCATGACTACCAAGCATGCTTCTATCTTTCTGTCATGCCTCTTACACATCTAACCTAACACTTTGCTTGCAACACAATCAGCGCCGCATCAATGCAAGTACGCATCACTTTCTAGCTGTAGTGCGTTACTTTCCCACCACGCCTCCGTCACGAGCTGACGACAGCATAGACAATGTGGTTCTTTTAAATCTGCTTCGACAACAACACCGGTCTGCCCTAATGAGCTGACACAAAACTCAATCCGCAAGGATGTTACAGTTTTGCGTCAGCTCATTGCAATTAGCAAGGAGAAAAGTGGCCAGCACTCATTTTTCAACAGAAATACTTCTGCACTTACTACAGGATATCAGAATTTCACAGATAAAAAAGAAAGAGTTGTTCAGGCTACCCAATATCATGAAGGAATAAGTATGAGAATATGTGCACGTGAAGTAGTGCGCAAAACACATGTCCCGGCATTTTCAGTCAAATAACACCGGCCTGCTTGTGCATACCTAGTTCAAGCTGCGAATACTACTGTGGCACGACACGGCGAGCAACCACTGTCAGTTCGATATTTTGATGCTAGCGAGGGATTACATAGCATCTGAGACAGCCAGTTCAAATGGAAACCACCATTGCTTGCATCGGCAACACGCGTTCACGACTGAGTCTGAATGCAGATTTAGGCAGTGCCGAGTGTAGGACGGGTCTGTACGGTCTAACTCAAGACGCACACACAAAAAGCATAAAACCGGTGTTGCAATCTAGTGTGGTACTGATTCTTATACTTATCTCGGAACGTTTTTTCTCGGGCGCGTGGCACGAAAATCGAAGCCACATTCTTACCCCTTTCCCGGGCCTAAACACAATCATTCTGCTCTTTTCTGCTTCCAAAAGAATACAGATTAAGAGGAGAAAACAGGTAAGCGAAATAAAAAAATGGAAATGAGGGTGCTGTTCCTGGCCGCCTATCGAACGTCTCCTGCGGTTTTGAAGGCAGCTCTCACAGATTCAGCACCTCCGAATAACATCCAGACAGTTTCTGCATGACTGTTCCCTGGCTGTTCCACGTTGATGCTGTTTCGCGAGTTTGGTCTGGCGAAAGTGTAGCACGCGCACCTGCCACCTGGGGCGCGTGGCGTACGCAAAATAAACATGTAGCTGTGGAAACGGGCACAGCTGTCAAAAGCGGTGTCGGGCTGTAGGAAAGTGGCAAAAAATAAGCAGAAGCCGAGTATTTTCGATGCTCCTGGCGTGTCGTTGGAGGATTTGGTTCGACCATATTTTTTTTTCCTATCCCGTCATTAACAGGAACAACATAGGTGAGGAAATAAGTTCTCGCTACGCGAAGATCAGAAAGAAGCGAAGCCGCGTACAAATAGAAGCTCTGCTGCAAGACAGGAAGAAACTTGCCAGAACTCTTTTCCCTTATTTATGTATCCATGCATCGTCTAGCAGGCGTGAGACAAGGCGAATCTGCATCGAAAAGAGCTAGCAGATTCGATCCGTGCCTGTGGCAACTGTATGTGGATGAGGACGAATGAAAAGCAAGTGCGTCCAGAGACGTTTCCACGCGTAGTGGGGTCTTCACGTACTTGAAATCGACTTTTTTCGTTGTCTGGCACAATATGTTGAGTTAGACGACGTGGCTGTTATGTATAACAGCATGCACTTCATTCAGTAAAGTTTCGACAGACAGGCGATATTATTCAAATTGTAAAGCCAGACTTAATGATACATTACGAGGATGACGAAAGAAGTACAACTGCCACCATGAAGAGCAAAACACAGGTCATTCTCTTTCTAGAGGAAAGTATTGAAATAGGGGATAAAGATATAAATAAGTAGGAACTAAATGGACTAGTCAACAACAAAAATGCGCCAATGAATAGAAAGGGCTAAAACTGAAAGAGATGAGAAGATAAATTCCTCCAGAAACAAACGGATAAGTCATTTTCGAGAAGGAAAGTAGCAGGGCACGATGGTCCTTGTCGTGTCAAGAAGCACACTCACTTATAAAATACAATTATTGTGTGCCGTAAACATAGCTCAAGGAGCCTGTGGCCATGTTGTAGAAGTTCGCACTATGTAAAGAATGCAGAATTCTTCTGCCTAAGGTGTTCGAGTGGTTCAAAGAAGGCAATGGACGCACACGACGCGCTGCCCGCACGTCCCCGATAGTGTAGTCGCTTGCGCACCGAACTAAGATCCCCTTAACAAATCACAGATAGCATTATCTACAGTCTCTCGCTCCACTACCACTACAAATTCCTCAAAACTAGTTCTTCAGACAATTACCGGACTTCGCCGCGAAGGTGCTACTCTGCTTTGCCATTTATGGCTAAGAGTGGCTTTATCCAAGTCATTCCCCTATCGCATCGAAGTAGCTGACAGCCCTCTTTAGGATAACTGTGCTAACGAGGAAAACTTGCAGAATAGTCTTCTTTGATTTCTTGGTGTGAAGCTTTTTCGAATAAACTCAGTGGCAAGTAAGTGTCCTCTCTGTGACAGATTCTTTCTTCCCAACCGATTCCACGCTCCCCTAGGCAAGGGACATTACCGCACATCTGCTGAGACTGCCCCCGCTACAATGCGCTGAGAAAATCATTCGCAATCGCTCCAGCTCACATACAACACAGACCGATGACAGCAGAAATCTTCTCGAATGTTGTTCTGAGAGTTTAACCCTGGTGAAGGACACGAAGTCAGTGCGCAAGATTTTGAAAGCACCAAACTTGCACCGGTGGTTATAGACAGCGGTGATAACATGATTGTCAGGTTACGACTTGATGCCTTTGTGCCTGCGTGCGTGCTCCCCCTCACGCTCTTTCACTCCATCTCTATTTTTAAAGCTCCATCATTAGTGTAGGGTGTCGTATTGGTTTTCCTAGACTGATTAGTACCTCTGCCTTTCCTTTCTATCTCTTCATTCCCTTCTTTCTTTAGTACGAAGCGAACGAGCTGAATTCAAGTTCAAGTGAAACCTTCGATGAAGTAGGTCCGTGGCGTTAATTAGCATTACGCCATGTTGAGAACCACTTAATCACTGTTGCACACCTGCGCGAAAAAATATATATTTATTTTCCACAACCCTAGCAATACGAAAAAGAACCGTTCCACTTGTCACCACGATCCGACCAAGCTTCATATAGATTTCTTTCAACGCATGGCAGCCACCATCCACGAGCCACAGTTTCAAAATTTTTCTAGTAACACAGATAAAAAACCTTACACGAATGCAATGCGCTAAAAAAAAGCGTTGGCACCAGTGAAAAGGTGCCAACGTGCTCAGGAACTAAGGCATGGTAGAGGCTGTGACGTGCAGAGAAGCGAACGGCTGGCTACTAAGTGCGCTTGGCGTTCTTTTGAACCACGCCAACGGATCATCGATTCCTCCTGTCACGTTAGGAGTTCTCGCTCGGGACACTTGTCACTAGAGCCCCGTCCAGCCAGAGAAGAGCCGTCGTCAGTCTTCGGGCACTGCGACTAAAAGCCCCCCTCTCATAGCAGATGCTCCTAGATCTCTTGTCCTCCCTTCGCAATCCACACACGCCACTCTTCGAACCCCCAACTTCTTTCTCCAGCTCTGTTCTGCACGTGTCCGCATTGTGTCTTCTGTGGCTACATGGTATATCCGTCTTGTCACCGCTGTCTCGCGCGCGAAACGCGATATTTGCGTTGTTCCTCTCCGGGGCTGCAGCTGTGTCCCGGTAACACTTTGAACTTCGTTTTGCGCGCAT